CCGCCCCTGGTGCGCTCCGGGTGGCACGAGAGGTTGGCGGCGCCTGCGAATCTTGGCGAGGAAGAAGTGCCCTGATCGTTTGGTTGAGAGAAAAAATATTATTTATTGATCGAAAAAGTACGGTTTACGAGCTAAACGAACACGACTGGGCGACTCCATGCGATGGTTGACGACAAGCGCCTCGCGACCCAGAGCCCGATAGGCGTCGTGGAAAAAAAAGTGTGGCCGGTGGAGACCATTTTTTATTTCCGGTGTTAACATGCCAAAACAGACGGAATTTTAGTGGCCTCACCGGACATGCAAGCGGTACTTTTGAGTAAAGATGGCATGCAAGCAGTACGATTTTTTGATCCAAGGGGACGGGATGGGATCATATTTTACCCGCGGGCATCTAAATGGGCAAGAATCCATATTCTACAGGGTTTTGTTTACCACACATTAAACCATGCGAGTATTAGACCAAAAGAAGCTCAACATAGGTATTTTGACCCAAATCTAAACAAATATATAGTTTGTGTCAATTTCTAGGAACCCTAGTTCAATTTTCCTCACTGGATCACATTTATTGATTCGGGTCTCTGAAACCAACCTCGCCCTTCTCCTCGTCATCTCCAAGACTCAAACACTTATACCGGGTGAAGAAAAACGTCTCCGATTGCAAAGCTGCACCCCAAGTGTCCTTGTTTATCGGGTTTGGGTCGGTATTCATTACCGACCGATGCCCGACGGGTATGGGGATGGGCAAGAATCTATACCTGAGATAATTAACGGGGATGGGAACGGGATGAATTCTCCACAACGGGAAAGAGAACATTCCGGCGATACCCGACGGGTACATCCCCATTGTCATCCATACTTTTGAGTCCAACCGGTATAATTTTTCTAGCCTGTATTCTACAGGGGTTTTGGGCACAAAACCATCTTTCCAAACATGCCCTTAGATATTAAAATGATGATCAATACCCAGGCCCTGGATCACATTTATTGACTGAAACCATACCTCAAGGATTAGCGCCATGTTCGTTTGGGTTTGTTTGGCTTATAAACCGTACTTTTTCAGCCAATGAACTAATATGTTTCTCTCACACCAAATCAGTCAACGGTACTTTTAACTATGGCTTATCATCCAAACAAGCCCAAACGAACAGGCGTAAACATATAGATCAATGGGGTTACATTTCTAGGCAAACCCATTGTGCTTGATACTCAAGGAATAGATGTAATTCCTAGTATGGATTGGGTAGCTAAGTATCAGGGCGTCACATGATGTACTTGCTTGGACTCAACCCCAAGATGTTTCAGAAAGTCGGGAGTTTCCTTGGTCTTTTGCTGAATACTATCGTCGGTCCATAGAAAACTTTTTCCCAAATCGCCAAACCAAACCGTGAACTCAACTCCTTAGAAAGGGTGTTGAATTTAAGCGGACAAAAGAATGAATGTGAGTCCAGCTTTGTGGAATTGAAACAGAAAGCGAGAGGTAGCAGACTGAGTGTGAGAGGTGGTTATGATACTATCACAAATTAGACCCTCCGCGGGCTTTTATTTATAATATACAGCACATACTTACTGTAACTTGACTGGGACTGAGAAGCAGATCTCTGGCAAGCGAGCAGAAGCAATCACAAACACAGAGCAGAGTCTTTGAAGATCCCAAATTAAAGGACGGGTTGACGATGGAGAAGCCCCCGTCGAGGAGCGGGTTGTGGCTGCTGATGTAGCGCGCGTCGTCGCTGGCGAGGTAGAGCACGCGGCGGCGGCAATGTCTTGTCCGCCACCCGCAGGCGCACGGCCTTGAGGTTGGCGACGGCCTCCATGGCCTGCTCCGCGGCCGCCGCGACGTCGTCCTCGACGGTGATGTCGCAGTGCACTGTGCACGTAGCTGGCGGCAGAGGTGGGCGCCGGGCTCGTCCTGGACCACGACGCGCGCGCCGTGCTTCACGAAGAGCCGCGCTGCGTGCACGTGCACTCCCCTTGATGGCTGATGCCGACCTTGCCCTGTGCCCTCCAGCCTACGCGTGTACGTAAACATGCGCGTTACTCCTACGTTGGTAACAAATTGACCACCCATCATGCCTGCCTTGGATCGGATGATCAAATCAGAATGGCAGGGATTGATAAAACGGGAGGTGTTGTTACTTCCTTGCAGCAGCTACCAGCTAGCGATAGAGATCGAGGAACTTGACCGATTATTGCTGCCTGAAAAACATTGTTCTGGAAATAGTCTTACGAGCAATCCTCTGCGTGAGAGCAGTCCGGTGTCTGCTCTGCTGCTCCTTGCGGTCATCGATTTTAAGAGCCCATCGCCGTGAACGGCCCTCTTGAATATGTATAAAATCTTATAATATATAGATACTAATTTTATTTGCAAAACAAAAGCAAATTCAATAACATATTTTTAATTTAACATGTCTGATAATTATCGAGGAACAATGTAGATTAAGCAATATATTTGTAGATGTATGATAATTATCGATAAACAATATAGATTAAAAAAGCAATATATGCTTTTCTTTTCATCCATCAAATAAAAATGTTTCTTAGGTAACATTCTAAAATTCTAACACCTAAATTAGAAGAAAAATATGACTATATGGGTACAAAGTACTAGAATGAATACCATAAATAATTAATTTGATTAAAAATAAAAAGGAAAAAAATACCTTGGACCCCGATCGGTGCCACTGTGAGAAACCAAGAATCAAAATGTTTCCTTTCATCTACTGTTGCCGTCCTCGTTGCCGTGTCACGTAGTCTAGCTCTTTCAGGCTTGAGGCCTGGTGTAAGGTAAGGCGTTTGCGAACTCACGATCGAGTGTGTCTTTGTGCAGCCATGACTTTCGCTTCCTCTCTATCTGAGGGCCGTGGGGAAAGAAAACTAGGAAAGAAATGCCGATGTTGTTTTTTTGAGCCACCTGGCCAGTTCTATATCTTTTTTCTCATTAGTTTGTTAATGCCTAATAGACTATAGGACCTGAGGTTTGTATACCTGGGCTTGGCTCCCTCCTTCGCTTGGGCCCTCGGCCGTCGCACCTCTTGCCCTACCCCTAGGGCCGACACTGCCTCTGCGGCAGTCCCGTCTGCTCTGCTGCTCCTTGCACATCATCCATGCAGGCTGTTCGCTTAATCGTATTCGGCTTATAAGCTATGACTTATCAGCTAACGAATAGTATTTTTCTCTCATACCAAATTAACCAACAGTACTTTCAGCCATGACTTATAAACCAAATAAACCCAAATAATCAGGACGCATGTCCGTTGTTTGCCCCCAGCCACTGGTTTGTTTCCTTTCATCTACTGTTGGATGTGCACGCTGCTACCCAGCTTGCAAGTCACTGCTGCGCTACAGCGTTACAGGTGCTGGTCGTAGTACGACTGTTGCATTGGGTGGTGCACAGGATCCGAGACGAGACCTGTCGTGTTGTGTGGTCCTATTCGTTTCGTTGAAAAAATAAATTAAAATATTATTCTGATTAATTTATTGTGAGAGAAAAATATAATTCTAACTAAAAATCAAGTTAAAAAATACGGATTATAAAGAAACGAACATAACCATGCGCTGATCCCATGCTGTTATTGCTGCGCGTGGCCACTATTATTTTTCTCTCTTTTCGATCGAATCACGGCGACTTGCTGTGTAGAGTTGCATTCGCACATCTCACCCACTGACTTATTTCACAAAAGGTCACGGGAATACATACTCTCTGTTCTCATTCTCACCAAAAAAAAACAATTCTCACTTCCTGACGATGAGTCAAATAAATAAATTTAAGTTTGATAAAACCTATACAAAAAAATACTAATATTTATAATACAAGTATCATTACATTAACTATAAAATATATTTTCATAGTAAATCTATTTAGAAATATAAATATTGATATAAATTCTATGAACTTAGTCAAATTAAAAAAAATGTTTGATTTATCCTAAACCTAGAATTGCATTTTTTTGGAGCGTATATATAAGAGTTGCAAGTAACTAAAAGCATTAGAATATACTTTATAATATCACTTTCGAAAATGGGGCAGTTTGGCATATGTACTGATGGAAAGGTTCCATATACCGCTTTTAACTTGTTCGATTCGATCCGGTACAGAGACTGCTGCCGTGATATTATTCATTCATATATATAAATATAAATAGAAAAAAGTCTACTTAACCCTTCACCTTTTATACTTGGTCTACTTCACCATCAACTATGAAACCGTCTGTTTTATCCCCTAAACTTTCAAAACCGTTTATTTTACCCCTCGGGCGGTTTTTACAGCGGTTTGCTACAGTACCGGTGGGTTTGAATTTTTTTTTTTTATTTTTTGGTGGATTTTTGAAAAATCATAGTAAATCATTGAAAAATCATAAAATGAAAAATCTAATTTTATTGGACTCCATATGAGTAGATCTACACAGTGAATATATAATACGATATGCTTTAGTATAATTTTTTACTGTAGCTTTAGATTAATTGGGAAATCTAATTTTTTCTGTAATTAATTAGAATTTATCTATAACTAAGTTATACATAATCCAATGAGTACGAAATTTTTACTATAGTTCAATCATACAATAATTAGCGTACCATAAAAATTTCACCACAATTGGACCATAGAAGTTGCAGCTATGAATTATTCCAATTAATTATAGACAAAACTAGATTTTCTAATTAATCTAAGGTTACAGTAAAATTAATTAATGTAGCAAACAAACCCTGTAGCAAAACCGATGTAAAAAAAGCCGGGAGGGTAAAATAGACGGTTTTAAAAGTTCAGGAGTAAAACAGACGGTTTCGTAGTTTTAGGGGTGAAGCAGACCAAGTATGAAAGATAGGGGTTAAGTAGACTTTTTTCTAATATAAATACAGCCAGATGCTGGATTGTTGGGTTGCATCGTTACACACATAGTACTGGACATAGCCAGGCAGAGGCAGGCAGAGGAAGAGCCAGACACGCACTCTGCTATAGTGTAGCCTAGCCTAGCATAGCGCTAGCTAGGCCACTAGCAGTCATGGAGGATGGCGAGAAGAAGGCGACGAAGCCGGATTCGCAAGCGCCACCGCCACCGCTGAGCGCGGTGCATGTGAACAGGCCCCTGGTCGCCGCCAACCGCGCCATGGCCGCCGTCCACGCCGCGCTCGTCGCCGCGGTCATCGCCCACCGAGCCATGGCGCTGCTCTCAGACTCCGCTGGCAGCGCGTCGTCCTGGTCCCGGCACGTGGCCATGGCGCTGGCCGACCTGACGCTGCTGTTCCTGTGGGCGCTGTCGCAGTCGGGGCTGTGGCGTCCCGTCACGCGCGCCGCCTTCCCGGACCGGCTGCTGGCGGCGGTGCCGCGCGTGGACGTGCTGGTGGTGACGGCCGACCCGGACAAGGAGCCGCCGCTCGGGGTGATGAACACGGTGGTGTCGGCCATGGCGCTGGACTACCCCGGCGGCGCGCTCAGCGTGTACCTGTCGGACGACGCCGGGTCGCCGCTCACGCTGCTGGCCGCCAGGAAGGCCTACGCCTTCGCCAGGGCCTGGGTGCCCTTCTGCAGGAGGCACTCCGTGCAGTGCCCCTGGCCCGACAGGTACTTCGCCGGCGACGACGCCCACGACGGCGGCGGAGGCGATCGCCGGGAGGAGATCGCCGAGGAGAGAAGAAGAGTCAAGGTACGTCTCTATGTTTTGACTTTTCTTTTTCCTTTGGGCACGTATGTAAGAGGATGAGCAGCGGCGGATAAAAAAAATTATATGGGCTGAACAATATATATATTCGACTGCTGTTTGATTTTAAGTCTTAGTCCCATCTAAATTATATAATTTTGCTTATAAATTTATGAGGCTCCACTCACATTCCTCCAACTAAGGCTCGATTTTAAGTCTTAACCCATCTAAATTATAGAACTTTGCCTACAAATTTTATGAAGACCCAGAGATTCCACTGTGGTATGGATAGGGGTTCTCGAGCCAGCCCCCCCACCCCACCCCCCATTGATCCGCCCCTGAGGATGAGGCACGGCGTTTACCTACTCCAAAGTGTGGAAATACGTGTCACATGTTGCAATAATAGCCGCTTAATTGACATGCGACTAAGATACTATTAGCTAGTGTTGTCGTACATGCATGGAGGGACATGAGCACAAACCATTTTCGTTCTCATGTAATCTTATCTTAAAGAAGAAGATCGAAGAAGAATTATTTGTGTGACCTGCTGATGTTTTTTTTTGCAGAAATTATACGACAAGTTGAAAGCGGACATAGAGGCGGCCAAGAAGGACGAGAGTATTTCCGGCAGCTGGACAAAAGCAAAACGCCAGGATCACGATGCTTACGTGGAGGTAAACTAGCTATAGATTCAGTGAATTGAGTACTGGTGATATATATTTCAGGATGCAAATGCGGAAAATTTAAAGCATCCGATCCATGGCAGATCATCACTGCTAAGGAAGACGCCGACGTCGACGATGAGGAGGAGGAGTTGCCGGAGCTGGTGTACGTAGCCCGCGAGAAGCGGAGGGCGTGGCCTCACCACTTCAAGGCCGGCGCTCTCAACGCCCTGGTGCGTGCGTGCTTGCGTCTATTTCTTCCCTTAATTAGCTTAGCCGCTTGTTGGATTACATTCATCCATGCATGGATATATATAGAGAGAGATATACATGTAGCGACGCTAATGATCTGATCGTGCTATATACGTACTTATTATCACTATCGATCAGATCATGCAATAATTCAATCAATTATGATGATGTTGCAATGCAATACAATACATTACGACTCACTTGTATATATGCCGGTCGGCCGCATAAATGCATGCAGCTGCGAGTGTCGGGCGTGGTGAGCAACGCGGCCTACGTGCTGGTCCTCGACTGCGACATGGCCTGCAACAGCCGCACCTCCGCCATGGACGCCATGTGCTTCCTCCTCGACGGCAGCCCGCCGGCGCCGGAGAACCTCGCCTTCGTGCAGTTCCCGCAGATGTTCCACAACCTCAGCCACAACGACATCTACACCAACGAGCTCAGATACGTCTTTGGGGTGCGTGGGTATTAATTATTAGCTAGCTAGGATATATCGTATAGTAGCAATTTTCATGCACATCATATATACAATACATGATCCATCAATCATTGCTAACCCGCCGGCGATTGACGTGCATGATCAGACTCGATGGTTCGGCATGGACGGCGTCCGGGGTCCTTTCCTCTCCGGCACCGGCTTCTACGTCAGGAGAGACGCGCTGTACGGGGCCACGCCGCCGCCCAGGAGCACAGACTTCAGCTCCATGGATGCCGGCGAGCTCAAGACAAGGTTCGGCCACTCCGACCGTCTCGTGGCATCCTTACGCAGCAACAGCGGCGGTGACCAGCGGCATCGTCGTCGTCTCCCCCATGTTCCACCAGAGCCAGAATCCCTGGCGCTGGTGGCCTCCTGCGCGTACGAGGCGGGCACAGCCTGGGGCACCGGCGTCGGCTTCATGTACCAGTCGGTGGTGGAGGACTACTTCACGGGGTACCAGCGCTTCTTCTCGCGGGGCTGGACGTCCGCCTACTGCTACCCGGAGCCGCGGCCGGCGTTCCTCGGCAGCGTGCCCACCAACCTCAACGACGTGCTAGTCCAGAACAAACGCTAGATGTCCGGGATGCTCGCCGTCGGCGTCTCTAGGAGGCAGTCCCCGCTCGCCTGCCGCCCGTTCCTCCGCTCCTCCTTGCTCCAGGCCATGGGATATGCCTACTTTAGCTTCGCCGCGCTCTACGCCGTTCCGGTGCTCTGCTACGCCACCCTGCCGCAGCTCTGCCTCCTCCGCGGCGTCCCGCTCTTCCCCTGCCCCGCCGCCGCCGCAGCGGCGTTCGCGTCCTCGCTGCTGCAGCACCTGGCGGAGGTGTGCGTGGCCAGGCACGGGAGGCTGGACCTGCGCACGTGGTGGAACGAGCAGAGGTTCTGGGTGCTCAACGCCCTCACCGGTCAGCTCTTCGGCTGCGTCAACGCCGCCCAGGAGCTGCTCGGCGCGCGCGCCTTGGACTTCGACCTCACCAACAAGGCCGCCGACGGGAGGCTGTACCAGGACGGCGTCTTCGACTTCACGGGCTGCTCCACCCTGCTGCTCCCGGCCACCACGCTCTCCGTGCTCAACGCCGCGGCCATCATGGCCGGCACCTGGAAGATGACGTCGTGGGGCGGCTTCCAATTCGCCGGCGAGCTGCTCCCGCAGCTGTTCCTCATGTGCTACGGCGCGGCGCTCAGCTACCCGCTGCTAGAGGGGATGTTCCTCCGGTGGGATGCTGCCAGGGTTCCGCCACGCATCACCGCACTCTCGGTCGCCTTGGCAGCCGTGCTGCTCGCCGTGTTTGGATGAGCGAGCATGTGTACTTGTAGGGCTTCCGCCATACTCATACAGTATACATATTATTCCCACTGTTCAGTTTTATATAAGCACAGCATGCTGAACTGAACAACGAGAAGCTTAAATCCACAGCAAAATTAAGCAGAGGCAGAGCAGGGAGATGAAACAACACCCGAGCGTTAGATTATGTTTATGGAACAAACATACAGGAATACATGCAACATGTTAGATTATGCTTAAGCAACTACTCAGCAAATAGAGAACCCTCAACACTCTGCAAGATGCTACTGCATGTCTGCATCGGATAGAACCACCCTACATGTGGGGATTCCAGCCACAGGATCAAACCGTGTAACGGTTCCTCGGTCCCTTGTCCGCCTTCTTTGCATCGTCCTGCAGCCAAAGAGGGCCAAGTGAGAATCGGCACACCTTACCCAGGGCATTGACAAGAGAGGGGTAGCTTAAGCACTTCTCACATGAACAATGAATCCAATGGAGTCCTTGTAATCCAGGAATTCCTTCCACTGCTTCCCAATGCTTATCTGAAAGGAAGGGGGAACATGTTCGGCACCTTATGTCAAGCTTGTTAGGAGGATGCTTAACAATGTTTCGGATCCAAATGAAGTTACATAACCAAAAAACAATTTACTGCTAATCATGGTGTCAAAAAACAATTCTCAACAATTTCCTGGGCCTCGTATAGGACCATGGAAATGGCCAACTACCAGTTGAATCCCCAGTCATGACGCCCTTCTGTTTTCCTCATTATTCTTTCATATATCAGGGTTACATTAATTAATAACATAACACGCATAACTCAAACTTGGCCTTTTGCATGTATGATAATATTGTAATTATCAGAACAAAAGTATATTATTCGTAAACAAGGAAAATATATAGGTTGTTGTACAAGTATTTATCATGACACTGTAAATTATCATAAAAGTGTGATGATTGGATAGGAGAAAGGAAACAAGCTCTTGTACAGGCATTTAGACAGAGATGTGATTGCAGCACTCGTACCTGAGCAGCTTCATTAGCAGCATTTTTTGTCCAGATAGCTATTTTTTCCTGCTTGCCACGCACGCTGACGACTGCTCCACAAATTTCATCGCCATAGTCGAATTGTTCGCCAATCATAGCCAACAGCTACATGAAACAAAATTGAAAGAGTATAACGGTGGAGGACTGTAGAGTGTAATAAGGAGAGATGAGCAGAACAAAATTATCTTTTTTCTGATAATAAAATAGAATTGCTTACGGTGTGCAGCCACAGCGTGTCAGATTTTCCTCTTCCACAGCTGATGGTCCATTTACCGCCATTAGCACAAATAGGGTCTTCCCATTTTGGTTCAATCTTGTTCTTGAAGCAATGGAAGTCAGCTCCCGTGGCCAACTTGCTAGGGTGATGAATATTATTGTAAAGGCTGAGAAACCACAGATCCATTAGTTGGTAATATATTTATAGATGAAAGGTAAAGTTGGATGGGGACACAAGGACCAAAGCAAAGATCAACAGATGTCTGACACGAAATTAGACCAAGAGCACTCATCAGAATTCAGAAGGAAGAGAGGAAGGGTTATTAAATATCAGATCTTCCAACTTGCAATCCCACACAACAGCTATTACGAAATTTGACAGTGAAAAAAAAGGAAACGACAAGCAAGAGGGCCAATAAACTATGAAGCTCAGTTCAGCGGATTAAATTGAATCTCTGATTCTGAAGACTAAAAAACATATGTTACAGATTTTGCATCATGACTGAGACTGAATTTGCTCATATAAACTAGAGCCACGAGGTGGGTGTCACTTTGACTTAATATCAACCATAGACTTGGGCACTTGGCAAGGCTTGTGTTTGAGTATGAACAACAAACTCGGGTGAGCAAGGACTAGCAGGTAGGACTGGAGAACAGGCTGTTGAGTATGGCAACATACCATGCTTACCCAACAAAGAGTTCATACACATGAATGAAACTGAAAAAAAGTGTAAGATTGATCAACAGCTGCTTCTAATATGACAAATGAGAAGGCTAATATGCACGATATAGGCAGAGAGGGTGTGTGTGTGTGTGTGTGTGGGGGGGGGGGCATGTAAAGTATAGAGACAGCTGGCAACATCAGAACAACAGTTCTGCGTGGTTTTGGGGTAACCTCTAAATGGCTTAATTAGTGGAGCACAAAACTTGAGACAGACACTAGTTCAGCACAAAACTTGTGCAAATCAATATCTGCTTCAGAGAGGCAGGCGTCTTGCAAGTCGTGGAAGGCTACGAAGTTGAGACAGCAACTATGTCGTCAATATTGATCTTCCCCGTTCTAGAGACTAGCGTTGAATAATAATACTATGGATTAAGCAGAGTCAGAAACTAATGCATTAACTAATCTAGAGATCCGAGATCCGTGAACCATGGCAGATTTGGCTCGTATATTGTGAATCTAGAGACATGTACCAGACTACCAGTAGTTGTACAGGTAACGAGGGTTTGGGATGAGATGAGGGGCAGGATGAGGGAGGGAGAGAATCGGACGCACCCCCAGAAGTCCTCGACGGTGGAGAAAGTGTGGATGGGTCGGATGGAGCTCCCCCAGGTGGCCTGCTTGTTCTTGGCCTGCGGGTTGTCGAACCAGAAGGTCCACGAGTGCTCGAGCGGGTGCGTGGCGGGGAGGGCGGGCGCGGGGGCGTCGTCGGCGATCTCGCCCTCCTCCCTGTCGTCGTCCTCCGTAGCGTGCGCGGGGCGGCCCCGGGAGCCCGCGGAGGCCGGCCTCGTGTCGATCTCGTCGGCCATGGCGACGGCGGCGGCGGATGGGATGGTTGCGGGCTTGCGGCGAGTCGATTCCAAGGACAAGGAGGTTTGGGTTGCGGATGTGATGGTTGCTAGGTCCGCGGTCTTGGCCTGGGCCTGGGCCTGAGTAGCAGGAGGAGGGAAGGGAACGGGTGAGTTGTGCTGGTCTTGTCTGGGCCTGGTCAGGTGAGTTTGTTCTGCTCTGGTTGGGCTGGAGAGTATGATCTGGGCCAGCCCCTCGTATTCAGCTCCTGGGCCCAGCGGTTCTTCTTCTTCATCGTCGTCATCTCATCAGAGCCATCCTTATCAAGTTTCTCTCAAACAAAAAAAATCCTTATCAAGTTGATATGAATGGACTTATATTATATTAATTTAAGATAAAGAAACGATTTCCCGATGCATCGCCTCGTTGAAGATGTATTCTAGGTGGGGTGTCAACATTCCACGTGAATCGTATGTTTGTGCCAATGTCATGTCTTTTGTCTTTTGTACAGCAGCGGCTGACAAATGACAATGTTTTCTAACTTAAGTAAGGTAATTTCTTTCTTTATTTAGGATACCTAGAGGGTTCTAAAAATGATAGAGTATGTCAAATCAAGATTTCTTCTGGCTGAACAAGCCCCTCTGGTTAGGCTTCATTAGAACTGAAAGGTTTGAGTGTGCAACTTTGCTATGATAAGTGTGAGTTGATCCCTCTATTTTGAGGATAGATTTAAATATTTTTATTGTTTAAAAAAGTTGTAGAAAATCATATTGAATTGGAGCATGTAAGTAGGTCATCATCGCGCGAGCAAAGCATGCATGTTGCTAGTATATTATCATGAAATGTACTAATAAAATCATCATGAAATAAATGCACTAAAATTAAATTTAATAGTGTATCTATCTGATGTCACGGGCGTTTGTGCTTTTTAATGTACTAATAAGGCTTGGAAATTTTTATTTAGGATGATTTTGAAAAAGGGTACGTGTATAATAATATATAACATTGTTGTGAGTTGTGATTGTTTTCTTTCGCAATGATATCTAGCTAATATCGCGGCGATCGTAAATTTTCAGCTCAAACCAATTTTTCTCTAACCGATGAACATTGTTGTGAGTTGTGACGGCAGCCGATATCAGCTGATAAACTCAGTTGTAAATAGTATTTGAAACACCGGATATAATAGAATAGTACTACCAGTAGTTAGGACGTTAGGACTGTAGGAGCATTCAAGCAAGAAAGGAATCGGCTGTACGAATAAATAAGGCCTCCAAATATCTCGGTTGATACGGTCTTTGCCATTTTAGCTGTAATAATCTATGTTGTATTTCTATTGTGCTATTCAATCTAAGTTTATCTCTCTTTTTTTAATTTAATTGGCGACTCTCCTATCCAATCAAGTTTAAAAAAGATTAGCATTGGTATATGTGTAAACAAAGTATGCCCTGTGGTGCACGTGGATGAGACTGAGAGAGACCTTTGTGTTTTGCCCCTTCCCCTGTCGAGAAATGCAGTGAAAGCCAGATCCGACCAAAGGACCCGTCTCCTCTGGGATTGGGCTGCTGCTGGGTGCTGGTATCGCAATCGCTTGGTCGGCCCGGTCACATGTGACTACACCCTGACTTCATAAACTGCTCTCTCTTACCACAAGTAACCCTTTTACACTTTCACGAAAAAAAAAGTAAGAACCTTTTACAGGGACAAACCCTATCAACCCAAGTACCAAAACAGGTTCGGCACTTAAACCACTAAGGAACTGGAGAGAAAAAAATGATTTCTACCGCTTTTTTTCTTAAAAATATACTATCTAAAATCATTTTGCCAAATGTTTTTTTGAAAGCACTATAAGTCTATAACTTTAGTACAGAAGCTGCTCGACTGGAGGAGCTAGAGCTAGAGTCTTACCAAACAAATTCTTAAATGGTCTTTAAAACATTCGTCTACCCGAAGCGAATGGTTGGACCATAATCTCTTTAGCATATGGTATTTCAAATCTAAGTGGCATCAAAAAAAAAAAACATGTTGTGTTTCTCTTTTTCTACGGAGCATAGTACATATGCATGTACCCTTATCTTTATAAAAACATAGTCATATACTCTCTTATTTGCGATTACACAGCAAAGCACGCACACTCACCCTATGAACACACGCACGCAAACTCTACCCTATGAGCACTGTAGAAACATGAGAGAGATCGACAAAGAATTAGTTCCGACAAAGAATTAGTTCAATTTCATAACATATAGTTTAGTTGTCTTCTAAACCATATGTGACTGCGATGCCATGGGACAGTTGTTTCCATAACCTAGATAATGCTCTTCAGGTGTGTAGACGTTGCACAAGCTTAAGCACTTGCCGAAGGAGCTCGACTATCAAGTCAATGGTGCTGAGGCCCGATCTTAATCGGAGCTGCGCTTTGTCATGGAGGAAGTGAAGCGCTTATAGTTTGATCTCTTTGTAAACCACATGTTTTTAAGCAGGTACTCCATCCTTCCTAAATTCTAAGACGTTTTGTTTTTTCTAAATACATTATTCTTCTATGTATGTAAATATAATGTACATCTAAATGCTTAGCAAAACGTATGTATAAAAAAACAAAATATTTTTAAATTTAGAATAAAAGGGTAATTGGTAGCTCATGAATGAGTTAGCAAGAATAAACCATTTTTTATTAGGCCAAACAACTATCCCTCTGTTTGACGTTTTGGTTTTTTAGATAGGGATACATTTCTTTTACTATGTATCTAGACATAGTATATATATAAGTACATAGGACAAAATAATATATTTAGAAAAAGCTAAAACATCTTGTAACTTAGAATGGAGGGAATATGTGTGTCTTGGTCTTTGGTCTCGTCAACCTAAAGTTCTATCTTTATCCCCCCCTCCACATACACACCACCACACCCTCCCAAAAAATAGTTCTATCTTTATCTTTATTAGAAAAAATGCCCGTGCGTTGCAACGGAACTATAATTTACTATCCTGTCATCGATGAGAGTGATAGAATGACATAGGCACATAGCTCATGTGGGCATAGCGGCCACCACAAGACGGCTTAAACCAAGGGCACGGTGACCATGGCAGCACGTGCATGCGGTTTTCACAAGCCATGGCCAGGCAACCTGTGTTGGTGACGCAACGGCCACCATGCAAAACTGTGCAAGCACTACACAGCGACAAAGGTCGGCAGCAGAGTGCCCATGTGTACACGGCTCCTACGATGGCGCAGGCATGGCCCGATGCCCGCAGCAACCTTGACAGTGCTCTTAGCGATCGAGAATAGTGGTATGCATGGAGAAGACATGATTATGCTATTGATGCTAATGACGACGCAGTGGTTGTCAGAGATCATCTGACAAGAAGTAGCTAGATCTCGTAAAGGTTTGTTGATTTCTCTACTATCGGTCTACCTAACACCATGTGCAAATTCTCATACTTGTTACTTTTTATTTTCTTGTTAGTTTTGATATTTGCGGAAATAAACACATAAAAAACAAAAAGGAAAAACAACGGTGCGAACGGATGGAACAAAAAGGGAACGAAAAAGACAAAGAAAACGAACCTCTGCAGAAACATGTACGACGGAAAAAGTAAAAAAAATAACCTTGCATATGGATAGAGAAAAAAAATAGAATAAAAAGAACAAAAAAGGAAAAAAGAAAAGAAAAACGAACACGGTCATCCGTGGAGATGAGGACGACGAGAAAAAACAAAAACGAACGAACGTATGAAGCGGAGGACCGAAAAAAAACTAAATGAACCTATATTAGGATGAGAAGAATCACAATTCTAGTCTGTTTGTACGGAACTCATCTTCGAATCGGACTCCATATCGGTCTAGACATGAGATATTCTAACTCGTATATATATATATATATATATATATATATATATATATATAAAGATGGAAGAAACTCTTTATTGTCCGGTAGGTAGAGAGAGAGACGAAAAAAATGGATGGATAAAAAAATGGTCGAAAATTTTGCCTCTTTATTATTAAGTATAGATTAGCAAACGTGCCTATGCGTTGCAACGGGATCCAATACGTATTGGAATAAGATATCATATTATTGTTGGACGAGAGTGAGTTATAGCATAGGTCATGACTTCGAGTCAAAAATTAAATTAACTTAGTGGTAAAAATCTTTGTTTCTTAAGATTCAAAGATTAAAATAGTTATGGTCTCTTTTTTTTTTCTTACTCTTATTATATTTATTAGAACATGAAAAACCAGGTGGAGAAAAGCATGGAAAACAATGAAAACAAAATTAGAAAAGTCGAGATAGTGTCAAAAACAACCACGAGAAAAAAAATCTAAGCTACTTGAAGCCAAGCAGAAAACAGACATGACAAAAATTAAAATGTATTCTAAAAATAGCCACGGAAAGAAATCAGAACATGTTCAGAGCCAAGTAAAAAGCGTCCAAATCAGATCATAAAACTACATGTACTCGGATTAAATAAAAACAGACAAACTAGAAAAAAGTAAAAAAAAGAACAGAAAAGAAACGGAACAAAGAAATTCTATCCTTCTTTCCTCTTTTTTAGATTTCTATTTTTATATTTTTGCATTTGATTAAGATTTCTATTCCGCTTACTTGGATTCGGAGAGATCTAATTGGATTAAGATTCCTAGCTATCCATATTATTTTTTTTTCTATTTGATTAAGATTCCTATTCACCCGAAATTGGAGATATTTAATTGTATTAGGATTCCTACTTATATAAAGAGAAGGGTTATAGATGGTTTTCGATATTCACAAAGTTAGTTATGGGATGGCCAGACAAAAAATAGGTGGAGAAAATTTTTATCTCTTTAATATAATATATAAAGAGAATGGCTATAAGTGGTTTTCTATATTCACAAAGTTTGTTATGTGATGGCCGGACAAAAAGAATAGGTGGGGAGAAATTTTATCTCTTTAATACTGGATATAGATATATATTAAAAAAACTTAAAACCTTGTAAAATGATAGAGTAATAACGAAACAGTAAAAAAATAGAAAGAAAAATGGA